CTCTTTCCCTCTCCTCCTCTTGGTTATACTGGTTGAGATTCAGGTGCAAATGGTTAATGAACTGTTGTTTTTTTCTTCCTTTCTATTCTTTTCCAAGATAATGTCTACACTCACAGAAGGATGTATATGAGCAACAGGGTTGTCTCTGTTCATCCATCTTCTATATCCATTGAGATCCACTTATAATCAGCCAGAACAGATAAGATGTGATGTTCTACTTCATACTAAGGAGGTGAACAGTGAGGATGGGGCTTTGCTTGATGACTGGGCTCACATTTAGGATTTTGGCCAGTAGACTGGCATGGTGATTTTGCCCCAGCTCTCTTAGATGGACATCATATCAGTTTTGGGCTCAGTGGGACACTGGAAGGGGTTTACCACGCCACCTCCTTGATCTGCAAACTTCCCTCCTGCAATCCAGGGAAAAGACAAGCATAATGCTTAGGATGAGGCAACCCAAGTCATGCACTGGGGAACAGCCACCCCACAAAGACCTGCCTTGTTGCTCCTTCATCTTTTGACTGGATATGACTGCGCTTGACCCCGTCAGACCCTCTTCCAGGTTGTTTGTCCATCTCTCCTTCCTCCCCTTGAGTGAGAGGTTTCAGATCAATTCAGATGCAATGCAGTTGCTTTACAGGGAAGTCTAAGAGCCTTGAGGTAAAACTTGGACTGAACATCCCTTGTGTGAGGCAGAAGCTCCACCTCAGCACATCCAAGCCTTGCTCCCACCTTGAATAATGGGAATTATAACTAGGAAAAAGTCTAAAGAGATTGCAAATGCTCTGGCTGTGCCTGAGAGGAGGGTGTAGGATCTTGTCCTTCCCTCCTCAGGCAGCAAAGAGCTTTCACATGGAGGATAGATTAGCCAAGTACTAGCAAGGGTTGGAGTATTGTTCATGTAGGACAGTGTCCTTGATGCTTAGAGCTTTGCTCTGTATTAAGAAAATACCTCTGATAGCTCAGTTTCCCTGCCCTAGTAATGACAGACGCTATTTGCTCTGCAGGGACTTGGCCCTTGCACTAACCTGTGGTCCAGCTCCTTTTTTTTTTTTTTTTTTTTTGCCTGATTGGCCTCCTGTTTCCTAATGATGATGAAATCAGGTTTTGGATGGGAGATTCCTCATGAGAAGGCTTGTTATTATTTAAGTAAGATCATGAAATCCATCCTTAATGAAAGGACGGGAGAAAACCCTTCCACCAAGTTACACTGAAGCCTGAGATTATCATTTTTACGGGCTTCCAATCTTTCCTGCCTCATGTCTTATCAGTGAATGCAGCTGGAGTCTTCAAAACCCTCCCAGCTTGCTCCCGATTTTACGGGACGAAGATTAGAGATGATCGGATAGTAAATTATTCATTATTGCATTTGATAGTGCTGGGCAGAAGGGAATATCCAGAGAGAATTCAGCCTTCCTCTCCCTTTCTGCTCCTCGTGCATTGGGGTCCTCCCACTCCAGCAGTGCCAAGGCATTTTCCTTGTGCTCAGGAAGCACTGGGAGCACAGCCTGACCTCTGAGCAGGCCACGAAGCCAAACGAGACTCATTAATGCTCTTCCCATGCCCATAGAGCTGAACTGGAGGCAGGGAGGGATTTGTGGTGTCAGCCACGTTTTACAAGGTCTGAGCGCTGCAATGGGCTTTCAGCCACATTTTAGAGGGTCCCAGCATCTGCAGTGGGGTGGCAGCCCCACTGATTGATTGCTGGTCTGACTGCTCCATTTAGCAAAATGCTCCTCTAATGATTTACTAAAGGAGTTAAGAAGGTTTTTGAGCAACATTTCCCATGCATTGTTCTCCATGGAAGAGTGTTGGGGTCCCCTGTCCCACTGCGTGCTGCTCCTGCACAGGGGTGGCAGCTGATCTGGGGGACCAGCTGTGGTGGGAACAGCCCCAACACGAGTCCCGGGGCACGAGATTGGGATGGGTTTGTTGGTCCAGGAACAGGAGAACACGGGCCCAGTCCTGGCACTGCCATTTTGGGAGGGGAGAGGACGTTTCCAGCAGGGAGCAGGGGATGATCCTTGCAACCCTCGCAAAACCCGAACGGTGCCTTCAGACAGCAGTGCTGGTGGGTGGATTAGTCTGTAATTAAATAACCCACCACCGAAATAGCTAACTCATTGCAGTGCCCCGGTGTCCTGCCAAGCGCCGTCCTGGCTGACCCCGCCAAGGAGTCCAGGCTGCAGAAGGACCAACCCAGCGCTCCGCAGTGAGGAGCAGGACCGCGGCCACCATGGCTGACACGCGAGGCCATCAGGGCTTGCCAAGGCTTTGATTCAGTGAGCTATTCCAGAGGAAAAAGACATTTTGTAGAGAAAAATGCCTAATTAGCATTAGAGAAAATAAACAAAACAAAACAAAAAAAATGAGCAGTCATTTAAGCATTTTTTTTAAAAGGACAAATATTCTCTTCTTTAGGAGATCTTCAGGCTTGTTTTTTCATTTTTCCTGCTTTATTTTTATGACTCTGAGGAAGAGGAAGGAGATGGACGGAAGGAAGGAAGGAAGGAAGGAAGGAAGGAAGGAAGGAAGGAAGGAAGGAAGGAAGGAAGGAAGGAAGGAAGGAAGGAAGGAAGG